TAAATGTGGCTGTTACCCACAATGAGGACAATACATTCTTATAAAATGTTTTGATCATTCATTCTGAGTTCCCCTGTATTCCTTCAGTATAGGTAGGGGTTTTGCAATCCTCCTATTTGCATAATAAGTTTTAGGTTTAAATCTTTGTTTGATAATGCCTATATTCAAGAAATTTCAGCCTCTGCAGAGACAGTTTAAGATCTCATTGTAAGCCCTACAGACCAGATGACAAATTTTAATGTTTACTTAGTTACATGTTGAATAGCCTTTTTTTTTGGGGTTTGGTAGTCCTCACCATTCAGCATTCCTTTGTACATTCTGTCAGAGTTCAGTTCCTTTTAGGTCAGGCAACTTTTTAAAATTTCCCAGCTCATTTTTAACATTTTCTGTCAATCCCAAAGTCTCAAACTTTTAAGTTAGTTGAGATTTTAAAGATTAATAGTCTGTATTTTCATGTCATCCAACAATTTATTATGTTGACTTCTAATTTAGTCTTCTGAAAGTGGTCTCAATGGGATTTTAAATCATATTTGGTTGGTTTAAGTATTAGCTTCTACATTAGCATACTTAATGAAAAGTAATCTACATCATGGGAATACCTTGCTGTATAAATTTTTTGTTTTTAAAGTCAGCAGTAAAAGCCAAAGTTAAAAGTTCCAACTGATTTATGTCCAACTGAGGTTTTCCAAAACTATTGGGGAAGATCTTAAAGTTGCCAAAGGATTGTGTTCAATTATGTTCTCACTTAGGTGATTCCTGTATTGTAATGGATATAAATGATAAATTGGGGAGATTTTCAAAGTTTATTACTAGAAATTATGGCTGTATGTTTAAAAACAAAATGCTGAAAGAAAATCTGAATTGAAGAAAATACATATGGATACACTTAAAATGGGACGTGGAAATTTGCTGACCACGTTCTGTTGTTGGCATGAGTTCTGCATTAAACAACATGTGACATTGATTAATTGTTGACAAATTTTGGAGGCTGATTCCTGGCTGTCAACCCCCTTCAAATGAAAACATGTGGTATAGCTTCTTAACCTATCATCTGCAGTAATTTTGTTTGCATGGTTTTTCTGGTTTCTTTTTCTCTATTGAATTAGTGTATTGAATGCTCAATTGTCATTCATTTTTGTGCTGTGATTAAGTAAATGGATATCAGTGCTTGAAGGTAGAATATGTTCTCAACTCAATTCACTAACAATAGAATATTCTGCTTAATGTGGCATTGACAGATGGAAAGTAAAGCTCTTTATAATCTTTTGTGACATTATAAGATAATTTGTTTTCTTTCACTTCTGACTGAATGGCAGGACCTTTCATGACCTCTCAATTTCCTAAACGCTTTATAATTAATGAAGTACTTTGAAATATCACTCAGAAAAATACAAGGAAGCACAGCAGGAATCAAGGAACAGCAAGATTCCACAATCAGCAATGAACTGCTGATCACATTATCGGTTTATAATATTGGTGAATGTATAAATATTGGTGGGAAACGTCAACAAAATTCCCCTGCTGCTCTTGGAATAATCCTATGGAATCTTCTATGCTGATCCGAGAGGGCCATTAAATTTCGGTTTAATATGATATGCAACAGACAGCACCTCCATCTCCATTCTTCAGTACTGCACAATAGTCATTTGTGCTCAAATTTCTGCAGATTGAGCTTGACCTTCTGATTCAGTAAAAGCGCAACCAAACCGTGAATAATGAAACTATGGGCCCACAGCAAATGGTTCAACTGGTTAATATAAACAGGTAAAAATGTGACAACATTTGACCATTAAGCAACGTGAGAAGAGAATTTGTAATCTTGTGAACATGTCAGGGAATTTTTAATTATTTGTAAGAATATTCGGAAAGAGCATGTGAGAGCTTGTATCGGTTGTAAAAGGAACAATTGTAATTTTCTTGGATGTTAGAAAATGCTACTCTATTTGACTTAGGAACCTTGAACCTGGAAGAAGCACCAACAGGAACAAAGTTTAAGATGCCAAAAAAGGCTTTCTGTGCATCTGGCCAGACTACAGTGTGAACAAGCAACTCTTGTAAAGAAGAATGGAGAGCAACAAGGAGCTGTGTCTGTGTGGGATAAAATTTTAAAGCTGAAGATGTGGCCAAAGCCGAAATTATGAATTGGGCTTTGATCAAATTACTTTTACTTCACCAACCAGACATTTTATAACCAGATTTGTTCATGAATTCAAGAAATTTTTGGGAAACCTGTGTTGTCAAAGACTGCTATGAATCTAGCTAAGGATGTTCTGTAGAAGTGTGTCATATAGGTGACAGCAGTTTCTGGGCAATTCTGATTCATTGAAACTATTATTACATGTGACACAAGACCAGGTCCTTGAGTGAGAAAAATGAGAGAATATAATTCCAAAGCCCAAGTTAAAATGACTGAACGTAATTGTAGAACCATGTTTCAGAATCTCTTGAGATTTTGTTGTACTTTTTGTTTGATCTGTAATTTATAGTTTGTAATAAATATCATTTGGCTGTTAATTCATGCTTCATTTATGTGGATTCTAATTTGTGTTAAAGTAGGAAATAAAAATACAATTCTACATTTTGTGCTTTATTTGGGTCAGTTATAGATTCAGTTATTTTGGTTTACAGTTCTCCCTACCGGGATCTTAACAGAACTATCTCGAGTTTACTTTATTTTAAAAAAAAAGCTCAAGCATTGTGAACCAAGAAGTTTGGAAGATTTAAGTTGGATTACATTAGAAATACTGGAAGAAAGAACTTGATTTTTATGACTTTTGGATTGCCTCCAAGTGCTTTACAGGCAACAGAATTGTTTTTTGAATGCTACTAACTATTGTAATTTAGGAAAACGTACTAAAAAGGAAAAATGGGCAAAATCCTTTGAGAAGCTTGGCAGTATTTAAGTGCAACAAGTTCGCCAGTATGTTGGAGGAAACTGTGTAACTTGCTGGCGAATGTATTTGTGCATTACCATGAGATGAGGGATGCAATAAAGATTGTTCTTGCCTTTGTATAAATATTCTCATATATGCCTGATGTTATAGTTAATGTTTTAGAAGGTACAACATTTTATTTTTAGAAATTCAATTTTAAATGTAAATTTGCTGGGAAATACCTGATAAACATCGTGAGGGTATCAAACCACACAGACTTTTAACAAAATTTAAAATCAATAATGTCTTATAGGATAATAGTCTTAATGAACGAGGTGGGCATACTTGGCTTAAAACAAAACTGCAAGCATTTGCATTATTTTAATAATGGATGCGTTATTCTTGTGGGTTTCCAGATTGAAGGAAAGCCTTGGAATAGAAAATAGTTAGTTTATCTTCCGACCAGGGAACAGACCATGTAACTTATTGCCTTGTGGATGGTTGGAACTTAGTGAAATTTGTTTGTTTGAGTGTTTTTTTTATTTTAATTAGGGTGACTAAATGATTTGGATGTGAACGTGGGATGTATGGTTAGAAAGTTTGCAGGTGACACCAAAGTTGGTGGTGTGGTGGACAGCAAAGAATGTTACCTCCAAGTACACAGGACCTTGATCCGATGGGCCAAGGAGTGGCAGTTGGAGTTTAATTTAGATAAATGAGGTGCTGCATTTTGGAAAGGCAAATTAGGGTAGGATGTAAACACTTAATGGTAATGTCCTGGGTGGTATTGCTGAACAAAGAGACCTTGGAGTGCATCTTCATACTTCTTTGAAAGTGGAACAGGGAGACAGGATAGTGAAGAAGGTGTTTAGTGTGCTTGCCTTTATTGGTCAGCACATTGAGTATAGGAGTTGGGAGGTCATGTTGCAGCTGTACAGGACGTTGGTAGGCTACTTCTGGAATATGGTGTTCAGTTCTGGTCTCCCTACTGTAGGGAGGATGTTGTGAAACTTGAAAGGGTTCAGAAAAGGTTTACGAGAATGTTGCCAGGGTTGGAGGGTTTCAGCTATAGGACAAAGCTGAAAAGACTGGGGCTATTTTGCCGGGAGCGTCAGAGGCTGAGGGGTGACCTTAGAGGTTTATAAAATCATGAGAGGCATGGATAGGATGAATACCCAAGGTCTTTTCCCTGGGGTAGGGGAGTCCAAAACTAGAGGACATAGGGGAGATATTTAAAAGGGACCTTGGGGAAATTCTTTCACACAGAGGGTGGTGCATGTATGGAATGAGCTGCCAGAGAAAGTGGTGGAGGCTGGTACAATTAGAACATTTTAAAAGGCATCTAGATGGGCACGTGAACAGGAAAGGTTTAGAGGGCTATGGGTCAAATGCTAGCAAATGGGACTAGATTATTTTGGGATATCTGGTTGGCTTGGACAAGTTGGAGCAAAGGGTCAGTTTCCATGCTTTATGTCTCTATGACTCTATAACGGCCTATGATTGGGAGTTATTATTCCTATCCGATGGAAAATCGGAAATGGGATAAACAACTGGCAGAATTGTGCAACTAGAAGTAAGAGGATTGCTGTAGATTTCTTCCTCTATCAAAATTGCAGTTGGAGTTCCAGCTTTATTTTAAAAGTAACTTTGCTGGGAAATCCTTGAGAAACATCTCGAGGATTGGAAAACCTCACGTGCTTTTAAGAGAATTTGAATTCCAAAAGTTAGTTACTTACAGGATAAATATCCTAATGCAGTAGGTAGGCATACTTGGCTAAAGAACTGCAGACATTATGTTTGCATTATTCCAATTACCAGCTTTTAAGCCCATCTCTGATCTGGTGGGTGGAAAATACATGTGTTGTGTAACTAGCCGCAGAAATTTGATTGTCCTTTTAACTCTTATTTTTTTATGCAAAATTCAGTTTTCAGTTTGTGTCTGTGATGTGAAACTTGTAGAATGCATGCCTCGGAGAGTCTGTGACCATCTATATATTGTAACTTTGAGATTTGCATTTGATAATATACAGTGAATTCAGAACTTGTCCCCTTCACTCTGCAATTATGCTTCATTCACTGTTCATCAATTTGTCACACAATTACAATTTGTTTTATTTTAATTTTTAGGGCTCCTTTTTAATAGACAAAGAACAAAACTTCAGTTCTCAGAAAATGGACTTTGTGCAGATATGCTGTGTATGTCTGGGAGATAACAGTGAAGATGCGGATGAAATTGTTCAGTGTGACAATTGTGGAGTGACTGTACATGAAGGTAAGTGCTTTGAGATTTAGCGCTATGTAACAGTGGTCGTATCAACTATTCACCTTCAGTCTGTCTAACTAGCAGTGGCAATGTAGTTTGAAACAAAAAGACCATGGATGACAGTATCCTAGATCTAAGATTGCTTCTCTGTCAGGGATATTTTGTATCATGCGACTGTTGGAATTTAAGTACAGTTATGATTGCTGAAGTGGGAACTGCTTTTTGGTACCAGTTTGGGAGATGAAGGGATTAATTTCTGTAACATTTCTGGTTTATTACTGAAAATTTGTTAAAAATATTTCTGTTTTGTTCTACAACGCTTTAAATTAATATCTCAAATTAGCCAAGTAATATTTCTCATCAGTATTCATCCTCAGCATTTTTATTTTGGATATTGTGATGATCATGCCTTTGAATGTTCAGGAGAGATAGTTAGTTAGTTTCTTGTTGGAAATGGTTACTACCTGTCGTTTGTGTGGCCAAATACCACTTGTCACTTCAAGTTACAAATAGTGATGAGCACTGCAATCATCAGCAAATATTTCTTCTTTTCTGACCTTATGATTGAAGAATGGTGATCATTTAGTTATCAGAAACTAATTTGAAAGTTCCAGTTGAATCTCTCATTGACCGTTGACTTCATATTGTTGGTACGCCCATATGCTTTCTCTTGGCTTATTATATTGGTTAGTGCAAATTTATCTTGAAGAATTGCACATTGCCCATCGTTGTACAATTTACCACTTCTTTATGCCTTGAAACAATAATCATCACTGTATGAAAAGTGATGAATAGCTTGATTAATAGCTCTAGTGCGTTTTAATGTACTTTGTTAACAAAATAATGTGCTAATTAATTCCTGTGACAAAGATAATTGAAGTCTGTCTCCTGATAAGAGTTTGTGCATGTTGGTTCATGATTTATTATTTAGAATAGTTCAAAATTTATATGTAGTCTATTCAGAATAAGAAGTTTGCATTCTCGTTCCCATCCTAGTTTTGGAATGGACACATTTCGTTTAAGGGGCGGCACAGTGGCTCAGTGGTTAGCACTGCTGCCTCACATAGCCAGGGACCTGAGTTTGATCCCACCCCCCGGCATCTGTCTGCGTGAAGTTCGCACGTTCTCCCTGTGTCTGCATGGGTTTCCTCCGGGTGCTCTGGTTTCCTCCCTCAGTCCAAAGATGTGCAGGTTAGGTGGATTGGCCATCCTAAATTGCCCATAGTGTCCTGGGATGTGTAGGTTAGGTGGGTTCACGATGGGAAATGCGTGGTTACAGGGATGCGATAGCGAGGAGTGCATCTGGGTGATAATAATAAGCTTTCACTTTAGGAAGTTGCTGGGAATGTGGCTGTCATCCATTTAGTTCACTTGATATAGCCAGTGGAGTTGCTGACTCAAGGAATTGCTGGAGATCCCGGCCAGCTCGTGTATTTCCATCCGTGGCACTGTTTTGCCAGGCTATGTCCAAATTTATCTAAGGCAATGGAGTTGGAAGTAGTTCAACACCTTTCTTTACCTGTGAAGGAGGCAGCTGAGAATACAGGCCTGGAATGCATACAGCTTTTGTATTTTTCTTTAATTTGCTATTGGTGCACACTTGACATTCAACCTTGAAATGGCAACTGTGACTTTTGCTGTCCTGCTGCTTACTTTTGCATCAAGAAAGAGATTGTTGGTCCAAAGTATGTGAAACTGCTGACAACCTCCAGACTGAGGTGGTGAATATTTTTAGAATGTGGAATCTGTACATTGTGCCATAATATTGGTGATCTTGACACTGTCAAATCAAACACCTAGCAGGCCTGGGATTTCTGATATACAAGGAGTTGGAAGTGACTTTCAGTATGAAATTGCAGGCACATCAGCTAGCAGCAATTCATGGACTAGGACTTCGGGCTTTGGTCTTGATCTGGAGTTTTAAGTGAACAGTTTGCTGTCAGCCCTGACATGCAAGTCGACTGTTTGATCACCAAAAATGTACAGTACTATTAGAGAAAAATGTCAGAGGACTGATGTCAGGATGCATCCCTTCTTTTCCTCGCTGATCTTGAAAGCTTTCAGTGATGCTCCATTTTAACTGACAAAATTGTGCCTGTCCTCTGGAAAGAAGTGATGTAGCAGTTTAAAGAGTTGATAAGATCAAAGGCCTTGGAGGTGTTCATGAAGCTTTGTAGAGTGCCTGATATTCATGCCTCTCTTTCTGTAACTGGCAAAGTGATAAAATCATGTTGACTGTGGATCTGCCAGCTGTGAAGGCACACTACGATTTGGTAGATACATGGTGCTAGCGTCTGCAATCAAGTCAGAGCAACGTGAGCAAAAACTTTCCTCTCCGTACTTAACAAGGTGATATCTTGATAATTGTTAGTCACTTCGATCCTTTTCTGTTTTTGCACAAGATCAAGTTAACTATTCTGATATAATTACCACTTCGAGGTTGATTTGAATAAGCCCAAAATATAAATCTGAGTTCAGAAAATGAAATGGAATGAGCTCAAAATTAAGGTGCAATTTGTATATGGGAGCCACTTTTGCATTTTGCAACAAATAGCTAATAATTACTGAATTTAATGTTGTAACTGTTTTGATCATTTCAGTACAATTTCTAGCAATTCAAATTGTTTTTGAAAATGACACACTACATTTTTGTGGCTTTTCAATATAATACAAACAAAAAGCTCTTTCAGATTTGCATTTCAGAGTCAAGTAGCTTGTCAATGTTACCAGTTATTTGCGAAAGTCACTATTTTTAAAAAAATGTTGGACGAGATTTTAGTCGTTGGAATCCTATTTTAAAACCATGACACAAGTGTTCATCCTTTTTTTTTAATCTGTTGATGGATGAAGAAAAGCTTGTCACCATCTATGCTGGAGATCCTACTAGCGTTGCACATATGCCTTGTGGCAAAGGTGTTTTCTCGTTAAACCTAATAGTGGTAAGCACTTCTTATGGAACTTTGCATCCTTTTCACAAAATACATTTAGTGGGAACTATCTGTGCAGTTAATATGTTGAGTCCACATACAACCACTAACAAACCAGAATCATTTGTTTTCTACCAGGAGTGTGCATATTTGGTGTAGAAAAGTCATAAAATTCCATTAACTAGCATAGATAAAATTGTTATGTATATTGTAATGACCAGATGGTAAATATAGTACTGCACAGAGTGATTGTTGCCCTCTGTTCCTCATGATTTTTAAGTTTTGCCCCTCCCACAAGAGGAGTCCACTTTTTCCAGAAATTAAGCTTCATTTTTGACCTGTGTTGGAGACAGCAGAGTAAGATGCATAAATTTTAATCGTGGAACAAACCTGCATCAAAATTTGTGAACCATTTTGAATCAGCTATACTATGATATGGAAAAAATTAGTGAATTGCAACCGCAACAAATGATAGATCCAGTCTGCAAACTGACATGGCTATGTGCGTGTTTCTGAAATCCTTCTGTGAGAATTCATCTTGTTTTGTGGCAGAGTTGAAAAGATGTGAATTTGATCTCTCAATGAACACTTAACAGTAGAAATGCCAGGATTATTCTGCTTTAAAGTAAATGTCATTTTAACAAAAAGCAGTTGGTTGGTGTCACTTATTAAAGGAATGTGGGTGAAGTTAAGGACTGAACCCACAGTTCTGTGTGCAGTTAAAGGAAAAGTACTTATTGGGACTTATGGCAATCAAGTAGTTGGTTTTCGGTATTCTTTCCTGTGATTGATGTACTTGCTAATTAATTATTTTTCTGGTCAAAACTTATTGTAGTATTTGTAGCTTTTTCGCTTTGCTGTTCACTTTATCATTTATACAATCTACAAATTAAGGTTAATAGGAAAGTTCATATTCGTTCCAGCTTAAATATAACACTTTATCTTCAGTTCATTATGTAACATCTTATGAGGGCCATAAAGCGGTAGATTTTGTTACGTGCTGATTTGTGTTGTAGCAAAAAATTTTCAAGGAGATCACTTCCACTCCATGTCAATTTATTGTACCTAAAGTACCGTTGCAGTACAACCTAGTATGAACTACATAGATGTCTCAGTTTTTTTATGCTAGAATGTCATTGCAAAAGTTGGCTTTGTAATTTAAACTGCTACCCAATAATGTTTACTAAAGAGCAATAGTGCTTGAATTTTTTTTTCATGTTTATGTAGGTGATTGATTAATTTTTTTGGTTGGGTATAGGCAAGGTTTAGAGCCATGTCCTCATACAGTGATTGCATAATCAAAATATGAAGGTATATATTTGTTACTTCACGCCAGCCTGATGCCAATTTGAGAAACTATATTTCCAGTGATGGTTTAATTGGTACCCCTGGTTAATGGTAAAACATAATTTAAGACATAGTATGTTTGTTCGATGCATTTCCAATCCATATTTCATTTTGCTGCTTATCCGTTTTGACTTTATTTAACTAGTAATCCCATATTGTAAGTTATTTTAAAAAAAAAAAAAAAACTGGTCAATTCAGCGTATTTAGTTGAAATTCATTTTTCAACAAACTGCTATTTCACTGCTGCTTGTTTGGTCAGTGCGGTCAGGATCTCTGGACCTGCTTCTGGCATTCAGGAAATTTCTCTTCCTTCTGCTGATACAAGTTTGTGGAGTGACAATTTAGCTGAAATTTCAGAAGAATATTTCCAAATGGTGGTGGACAACGTAACAGCTAATAGGAGATACAGCCACAACAAATATCCCCACCCTCAATAATAATGGAGCCAAGCACATTATTATAAAAAGGCAAATCAGGTGTTTGCAGCCAGAAGTGTCGAGTAGATGATCTATCTCAGCCTCCTCCAGAGATCCCTGACATCATTGATGCCAGTTTTCAATCCGTTCCATGTGTTTTTAAGAAACAGCTTGAAGACACTGGATTCTACAAAGGCTTTGGGCTTTAACAGTATTTGGCAGTTCTTATGAAGGTTGTGTTCCAGAGCTAGGTGTCCATCCTTCTGCAACTAAAACACTGGTATTAATCTGCCAAAATGTGCCTGCGCACAAAAAATGT